CTGATCGTCGTCTCCTGACGCGCTGGGGCGTCCCGAATCGTCAAAAATTGAGGCTTGGTGTAAGAATGTGTTGATTAAACTTCCACTTCCCCATGGCGCAAGCTCCCGCTAGCTTAACCAGCTAATGCGCTTATCTAAAAATAGCCCCTTTCACAACCAGCTGAATGTGTACGGTTCCGCTTACGCCAACATCGTACACAAAAAACGCTGAACACTAACTAGAAATTCATGAAAATTTTATAGAAATAAAAGAATCTTGTTTATCGGGTCGTTGGTAATTTAAGACCTTTAGAAACTGTATTTAAGGATTATTTGTAAATTTTTAAGGATTTTTAAGGCGTTAAATTTGGAAAAGCTAATTTAAGACTTTTTAAGGACCCGCAGATACCCTGTTCTTAAGGTATGTCTAACCCTGGCTTTCCACGGGAGCCGTCAGCAGCACGTTACTGCAGCAGCACATCTTGCTCGCGTAAGCTGCTGCTGGGCCCTTCCCACGAGACGCGAAGCAGCAGGGGAGCAGCTGTCACCGACCGAGCACGAAGTCACACGAGTGACTTCGTCAGTAAACACAACAACAAGCAGGAAAAAACTACAACATGGCTCCAAAAGGTTTGTGTTTTATGTTCTGTCCGTTTTATAATCGCCATTACGGACCTGAAAAACAAAGGAGACCGCTAGCTAGGTGATAACTTCTCACGGGGACGCACATTTAGTAACTTTTTTAAAAGTAAAGCAACCGGAAAGCAGCACGTTCTTTATTCTGAAAATCTCGGGAGCTTCTCTCCATTTCCGCGTCCGATTTCCTGTCTTTCCTTCCCCAAAGATGTCGAACTTGACCCGTTTCAGAGGCGTCGCGCGTAGAAAATAGAACCGGCGCGTAAAGGCCGCGACATGCTGCTCCTGAGACGCGGCCGACTCGCGCTGCTGACGGCTCCAGTGGAAAAGGTTCTGTTGACCACAGCGGTTCCTATCAGCAGCTATGACGTGCTGCTGCAGTAACGTGCTGCTGACGGCTCCCGTGGAAAGCCGGGGTAAGACACAGCCCAATACAGCATGGCTGCCATGCATAGCCAACCCTGACAGACACAAAAATGGCCATAACTCTAACTATAAACCTAGCATCATTAAAGCTGAGAGTCATCCAAAACACCCATCCGTACAACTTCAAATGTCGTTCTTTCCTTTTTCAAAACAAACTGATCTTAGTGTCAAACTCCGTGTGCTGTAGGTCTTCACTCGTACAATTGTTTTGAATTTAACTGAATATCTTTCAGTTTATGTGATGAGAATGAAGTTTGACATCAAAGCTTCAAGGATTAGAATCACTTCTTCCCACTCAAATCAGACAAAACCCTCAATCACAAATAAAAAACACAAAATTAAAGCCCACGAACATTAAGCAGACAATATCGTCTGATTATTAACACAGTAAACCTAAAGCCTCCAACCGTTACGCTCAAAACTAAAACATAAAAGCCTTCTGGAAACAGGTCTTTGGTGCACGGACAAGTCTCTGTCTCCCACTGGGTTAACACGCAGAATCAAGCTTAAACCCACAAAAAAAAGGATAATTACACACATCTGCAAATCATTAGGTCTAATCACACAGTGCAGCAGAAGCAGAATAAAAGAGACCAAATATTAGCCCGTGTTCTGCTCTAACATGTATTCAGGATGAGAAACAGCATGCAGCGTGATCACAGCCACTCTCACCCTAATAGCAATAAAAGAAAAGAGCTTCTGAAACAAAGCGTGGCTGTCTGCAGGTTTCCACGGCGCACAGAGCGCCGTCATATCGAACCGTGTGGAACAATACAGCCAACAACTCGTTCTTTTTTCGTCTTCCTGCACGCCCTCTTCTGTGTGCAGAGAAACTAAATGGATTAGGAGGAATTAGTCTGACAGTGAGAACTAAAGAGAAACCTTGAGATGTGGAAGAAAGCAAAAGTGAGACCAGGTGAAAGACGTCTTCTATGAGGAGTGCGACGTCTTAATGCAACAGCACTGGGTAAAAATGAGCTTGGTCAACGTTGCTGTGGCGTTTAGCTTTTGTGGCACTGTTAGAAAAAGGTTTTAAGGATTTTGAGAGGATGTAGAAGCTCCGGTTCATTATAAGTAACTCTATTTTCAGTGTTTTGGCTGATCTGTGTGCATCTGTTTATGCATATTTATGAACTTGATGAATGTGTGAATATGTCCTTCACTGATGTCGCTCTTCTCTAGTTCTCATCCATTCTGCACCATGAGGCAGATGCACAAACGTCTTTCCAATTCTGGTCCTTGAGGTTCACTATCCTGCATACTTTAGATGTTATGCTGCTCCCACACAACTGATTGATTCAAAGGTTTTTTTAAACTTGAGGATGTGCTTGTTGGTGCTTTAACTCTCCCACTGTCCTAATGGGTGTGACCCCGCAAGGAAAGTTGTCCATTGAGCAGGATTGATGGTTTATCCCTTGGGTCCATGTGGCAGGGGTGAGGAGTGAGCACCACCTCACCCCTGCCACGTGGACCTCAAGGGATAAACCATCAATCCTGCTCAATGGTCAACTTTCCTCACGGGGTCACCCATGAAAACAGTGGGAGGGTTAAATATCCCCGCAACCTCAGATCGAGCCACAGGTAGTTTTACTCTGCGGAGGAGTGCGGCGTAACTCTCTCACGCACACACTCAAATCTCACTTCCTCCTGCAGTACTTTTTATTAACAGAGAGGTTCATTTGCAGGGTTTCCCCCAGCGCTTTACAAGCCCGGCGGCCCGCCAGGCTAAGCGTCATGCCCCGCCCCCCTCCCCGCCCCAACCGTGTCCGCCGACACGAACGGCGCAACGAAACTAGAGCCCTCCATCAGCTGATACTGGTGAGAAACAGCAGCGGAATGTGTGCTACCCCCCCCACCCCCGCTCTCAGGGAGGAGCGCTGCGGGACGAAGCATCCCCCCCCCCCCCCCCCCCGGCAGTTGTCAGGGCATTGGCTACACTCAAACAGAAAACCACCTCCATATGACATGATGGAGAAAACCGACCATTCCACATGAAGTAAACAGAATACCGTGTGTGGCGTGTAACGGTGATGGTATCTGTTAAAACAAGAAACTCTTGTTTCCTGTTTACCTGTTTACTAAGAAAGTTCAGTTAACTTGCAGTCTGGAAGTTTCTCTAACAGTGCTAGCCAGGTTTTTAACCATTGTTTATGTTTATTTGTTTAGCAGACGCTTTTATCCAAAGCGACTAACAATTTATAACCTATAGGGCGTGTTGTGATCTGTGGGGGAAACCGGAGTACCCGGAGGAAACCCACGCATGCACGGACAGAACACGCAACTCCACGCAGAAAGGCCGCAGCAGAGTTTCGAACCTGCGACCTTCGTGCTGCGAGGCAACAGTGCTAACCACTGCGCCACCATGCAGCCCTTTGTATCAGAAAACAAACGAGAGGAAAACCACTCCGTGTTGAGAAAGCGTGTAATAATTGTTAGTTTTTAAACAGGACCAGTCACTCTGAGTTTCACATGAACCTGAATGATTTCCTTCAACCCCAAACATCTGCATTAACCGTAAAAAGGAAATAGACGAAGAAACGATTACGTAAGAAAAGGTCAGTCTAGTATTCATGACTTCTCCCACCTTAGTTTGCAACCACGGAAGTCTGTATTGATGTTGAAGCCAGAAAAAAGCGGGGCCCATTTCAGTCAGTAGAAGCTAACCATTAGCATTAGCATTTTCAAAACATGAAGGAACGCGTTCAGGCTTGTGTTATTTGTGGAGATAAATCATCAATTTTGCATTTTTCACCCAAGAAAGACAGAGCGAATGAAGAAAGCCAAAGAGTCGTGTTGCAATACATTAGCATATCATGAATATTAATGAGTAAGACAGATTGACTGCATATATAATGGACATGACGTCACTGGAAGGTTTCTAAAGAGCTGAATTGAAGCCTATTGGGCGGTTCCTACCACTGCCATCTTGGCTGTCTCGTCACTCCTGGGAAATACAAAAACGGAGCTGGAAGAGGGGCTGAGCTAACCAAAGCTAACAGAGGTTGGTGGGCACTTTTAGCCAGAAAACTGTGATTGAGCGAGTCTGCTGCGCTCTGCTTTCTATGTACTAAAAGTCTAAAAAGAGAAGCCAAGGTTGAGGCCTTTTTCTGGAGCAAGCAGGAGGCAAGCTGCTAGCGCTGACAACTCATCTACTACCTGTCAATCAAAAGAAGACGCCCCTAATGTTGGTCCATGCTTTTATCATGTCCCGCCTGGACTATTGTAATGCTTTGTATGCTGGGCTGAGTCAGGCAGCAACTTCACGGCTCCAGCTAGTCCAGAACTCTGCTGCCCGATTCCTGGCCGGTACAAGAAGGAGGGACCACATCACTCCAGTGCTGGATTATCTGCACTGGCTCCCGGTATTTTATCGGGCCAGAATTAAGATTTTGCTCCATGTTTTGAGGGTTCTGCAGGGCAGGCGTGTCCCTGCTCGTGCCCTTCGCCCTGCTGAGCAGGAGCTGCTGGACGTTCCCCGCTCAAAACTGAGATCAAGACGGGACAGGGCCTTCCAAGTAATGGCCCCTACACTGTGGACCTAGCTCCCCCTGACAGTGAAGCAAGCGTCTTCTCTTCAGGATTTTAAATGACGCCTTAAAACCCACTTTTATCAGCTAGCTTTCCCCCAAAATTGACACTGGCTTTCATATTTTTATCATTTGTATCGCACAGTTTTTAATAGCTTTTATTTGTCTATTTGTCTTTTTACTGATTTTTATTGAATTTGTTGTTTTTATTACTACTCTGGTTTTTATGGTTTGTTGTCCACAGAAAACAACTCACAAGTCATTAATGCATGATGGACTTTTAAATGTCCCAACATATTTGACATTAAAAATAAAAAAAAGACTTAATAGCTGAGAGCAGTTTGTTATAATTCCTGAATTTTTGTGTTGTTTCCTCAACTGTGCACAGCTGTCGAACACGTAATAGGGTCTTGTTTGTGCTTGTGGTCATACCTGGTGTAAATCGCATCCAGTAAGCCCACACGGGCCTCCGAAGCCGGGACGTACGAGCCAATCTGAGCCATGATACAGATGAGGGCAACTTGGCGGATGTAGGAGCTTTTGCCCCCCATATTGGGCCCGGTGATTATCATCGTTCTCCTGCCGTCACCCTAAACAAACAGACCGGAGGAGAAGGCCGCAGCTAGAATGAGATATTTGCATGTTTGCATGCACAGCTGAAGAGGTGGGTGGACTGAAAGCTCTGGCTTCTCTTCGTTCTGGCTTGTGCTTCTGTTGCAAGATTAACCTACACCCACTCGAGCAACAAAGTGAGAGAGAGAGTGTGTGTGTGTGTGTGAGAGTGAGTGAGTGAGTGAGTGAGTGAGTGAGTGAGAGAGAGAGAGAGAGAGAGAGAGAGAGAGAGAGAGAGAGAGAGAGAGAGAGAGAGAGAGAATGTGTTGCGCAAGTCTTTTGGTGTGTGTTTGTAAATGTGTGTCTCAATGAGTTAGTGAGTAGGCAAATGTCTGAGTCTGTCTCAAAGCTGTGTGTGTGTGTGTGTGTGTGTGTGTGTGTGTGTGTGTGTGTGTGTGTGTGTGTGTGTGTGTGTGTGTGTGTGTGTGTGTGTGTGTGTGTGTGTGTGTGTGTGGGTGTGTACCTGTAATTTAGTATGGTTAGGCACATACTGATTGTGCTCTCCCATCAATAAATCTATAGCGGGATGTCTGCCGTTGGTGATCATAATCTGCTGCTTATTTTCACACACTTCTGGCCTGAACAAAGAGAACAATAATGTTAACACACTCCGTAAAACACACACACACACCCAGAATGTTTGAGTCCATATGAAGGAGCTGGTCCCCTCATGTTTGCACCAGAATGGGTCACAATGAGGTAGCAGAAGGGTGGGCGTGTAAAACGGTGCGTTTATTCCAACCGGCAGTGGAAGCCCAGAACCCGGATCTCACCATAACATTATGAACTTTTGGTCTTTCTTTGTCAATTGGAATTTAAATTGAGGGAAAAAACACCCTGAAATTACAGACCATGGCAAAAATCTTACCCGTACAGTAGCATAATTCATTCATTCACTTATTTTCGTTAGTTTTAAATTCCCCATCAAACTTACAACACTCATAAACAACTCAACTGGTTAAAATGGCGGCAAAAACTAGACCAGCATATTTGTTGATGGATATTTTACTATCAGGTGATATTTCTTCCTAATCACCTGTTTTGTATATTTAGTACTTGGTCAGTGTATTCATTCGTTTGATGAACTTAAAGAGCAAGTCACCCCCAAATCAACTTTTTTTCCTGATAAACTATATAAATGTGTGTCTAATCGTGCTGCAGACACGTGTAGTCAATAGTTTAGCACTTTAGTGCCTTTTAGTCAAAATTGTTTTTCTCTGCCGTTGTCAGGTAGAAACTCTGCACTGCATTTGAATTTAAATCTGCCTTCGCTATTGGCTAAGAGGTACCCTAGAATGTTAGCTGGTACCATATGATGTCACAGTGTCATTGTGAGCCTGTGTGTGTGTGTATTTGTTAGCGGCTCCGCCCTCTCGGTCTGCTAGGCAACACCATTTGTTGCATTTTTCAAACAGGAAGTGGGAGTTGAGCAAGAATCTGGTAGGGGTGACTTGCTCTTTAAATGTTGGATTTTAATACTGAGCACATTAAGATTTAACAGTTGGTAAAATTCAGCGTTGAAAAACTGATTTGGGTTCAGAAATAATGTGTTTCTGCAGCTGAGCACATAAATAAGGTGGAGAACGTCTAGATATCGGCCATGAAAATCAGGCCAAAAAATCTGCAGCATACACCAGCCATCAGCTGACCCCTACATTATCACATCGGGAGCAGAAAAACCCAGATCCGTCCATCTCTAGTAAAAATGACAATTAAACGTCAATTTTATGATTCATTCTTGCAGCAACTCTCTTCTGATTAGTGACGAGTCAAAGCCAATTAAGCTTCTATTAACCAAATTGTTCAGTTTCTTCTACAAGCTCAACAGAGGAGATTGTAAAAGTCTATTTTTTCTTTTAAGGTGTTCCCTTTTCTACTTAAAAATTTTAATTTAAAGAAAAACAAATGGAGATATGGGAGTTAAAAGAAGATGCCAAACAAAACTAATGCCAGCAGAAGAACAATGCTGATGGAAGTGAAACAAGTTGGACAGGATATTATAGGGATGCGTGCTTGCATGTGTGCATGTGTGCATGTGTGCATGTGTGTGTGAGTGTGTGAGTGGGAGAGATGTGGGCGTTTTGGCAGAGCACGCTGCTCAGCCCGGTGCACACACCCACACACAGCCTGTCGGGAGTCTATAGGACACGACACGGGGCAACCCCCCCTTTCCTACACACACGCACAAACACACACACACACGCACACACACACACACACACATGCACACACAGTCAGTCGCAAGCACCAATATTGATAGTCTGCATCTGAGGATATCACCTGCAATAGTCCCCTTGTTTAGCCACCTCAGTCAATGAAAAGAGACAGTCCATGGTTGCTAGGTGACCAATAGCCCTTTTCATGGTGTGGTAGTGCGCCCCAAACTGGCTAAGGAGACAGAGAGGAAACAGATTTCAAGTGTAAATTAGGGTAAGGGCATACAGGTTTCTAAGTAGACAGCGCTGACAGCTGACAGGCACTCGACTAAAACAGACTAAATCAGGCAGGCTGGGAGCTGTGGAGGCAAACCCACTAAACCACCGACTTGTTGTTTTAGCAGCTTTTTATTTGAATTGGTGATCAGGTGTGTGTGTGTGTGTGTGTGTGTGCGTGTGTGCGTGCGTGCATGTGTGTGTGTGTGCGTGTGTGTGGCAGCTTTCTGTCATACTCCAGAAAATTGGTCCACTCCCTCTGACAGTCGAGAAGCAGCTGCTCTCTGAGCTGCTGTAGCTTCTTGTAGCAGTCGACCAGAAGAGGAGAGCGATACCTGCTGACCGCCTTCGTACTGCAGAGGGAAAACAGGACAGAAGGGATTAAAACCAGTGGAGGATGAGATGTGCTTGAAAAGCAAGTTTGCAACTCAAAAGGATCACTTAAATATGAACTCATTCGCTGCCAGCGTTTCTCACCGTTTTTACTGTTTTTGTAAGAGTCACAGAACGTTGCGCGCTAGGATGACGTCGACGCCAAAACAACAAAAACAAAGAGGAGACTCGCCTCTTACGTCAGGAAGAATCCGCGCGTTTCGAGCGTTATCCGTTCTTTCATAATCTGTTGTTGAATTGTGATCGGCAGATGCTTTTCCGGTTCGCGACTCACTTTTTTTACAGCAGCGGCCCAAAACGATCTCCTAACACATGGATGTTCTGCTTCCTGATCATGTGACGTGTGACGTATGCGGATGAAGATCGGCTTCAGAGCTGAGATGTTTGTTCTCACGGTGCGGGGGCTCGTCCGACACCCACACAGTAAAAACATGCAAATGACGACTTTACTCGCCAATGGCAGTGAATGAGTTAATAAGAGCTGCTGCTAGCTGAAGGATATAAAAAAAACACACGTTAGCGTAGCTCTTTGTGAGTAGGGTCTAATTTTCTTAAATTACAGAAACATGCAGAATAATTGGCGAAGGCTGCAGCGTGAAAGTATTTTATTGTGTACTATGTCGATCATAACCGGTAGGTGGAGGTGAGGCTTTCCAGTCGGTCCTCTGTAAGGAAGCTGACCTGCTGATTTTGAGCCAGTCATGGGGAACAACTGATGACGAGTTCTTCACCTCAATCAGGAACTGAAGACAGAGGAGAAGGAAGATGAGCAAATCTCTGGTAAATTAGATCAGAGACAGGCAAAAATAATCTGTCACCCTAGATTAAAACCAACACACACACACACACACACACACACACACACACACACACACACACACACACACACACACACACACACACACACACACACACACACAGCTGCAGCAGAGACCTCCATCCAAACAGCCATCCTCCCACCATTTCTTTCCCTCACACACACAAAGCAGCAGGCGGTACCTCCTGTCCAGAGACGGTCGTGTAGTCAAACCCAGGTGCCTTCAGCACCAGCCCGACATCTTTACGGTGATCTTGAATCTTTCTGAGAACCTTCTGGATCTGCGTCGTTCTCTCCTGCAGCACGGGGAACCCAGACAGATCTGAGAAAAGTTCCGTCTTATTCCCAGACCTGCAGAAACAAACCCTTTAAATGTCACCGCTGCTGGTGATGCATCGCTCTACGAACCCATGCATCCTCGTTTTCTCATAAGTTAGTCTGATTGTTAATCCGATCCCTTCAGTAATGAAATCAGGAGGGGAAGAACTCTCCCGCAGGTTATTTGGATGTCTCGACACCAACTGCTATCACGTGCAGAGCGACAGCAGGCAGCGGGAATAACCTGCTGGGCCACAACTTGCATTTCTCAGTCAGATTCAGATAGATTATGGGATATTTTTATTATCAACTTGATTTCAATTAAATGTGGATGATTCCGTCATTTCCTACAGGATTTATCTTAATAATCAACCATTTACATACTGAAGCAATGGATCTTAAACTTCTGAACTGTAGTTACAGGAACATGAAGCTGACTGGAGACGGTCTTCTAGCGTTTTTTCTTTAGCAAAGCGGTCAGTAAACGTTTTTTCTAATCTCCAGAGGAAACTCTCTTTAGCTTTCTGTGGTCTATGTTCAGCGCGGTACACAACATGATAGGAAACAGCACTGTTTACCTTTCAGTAGGTAAACTTACTGATTAATCAATCAAATCAATCAATCAATACTTTATTAATCCCAGAGGGAAATTAGAGTTTCAGTACACACAATTCAGAGATCAGACATACAAGGGCAAGACACATGACAAGAATTGGTGACTGTGGTCATTCACAACCCTGAGTCGCGCTACCTTAATAGAGATAAGAGGGTTACATGAGGATTGGTTCAGGTGGAGGGAAAAAAGACACTTCAGAGTTACCCTCCACCAGGAGGGCAGCTTTGCTCTGCAAAAAAACACCTCAGACAGATATGCAACAGACTTCAGACAACACAACATGAGACTCCAATAGGAAGGCGGGGGGGGGGGGGGGGGGGGGGGGACTGGGATCCTGTTTCCCCCAGCAAGAGCAGCCATCTACAGCGCTCATCTACTGTACAGTCACAGGTGGGAGGGAGATCTTGGGAGAAGCGAAGAGCAGATTGACACCTCCAGCTGATGACCTCGCCAGGCTGAAGTCCACCAATCCGAAGGCGGGGAGAGGGGTAGGTCGGGTTTTCACAGCATCTGTCTGCATTCCTTCGTGGGGGTTTTAGTTACTTGCCGCTCAAGGCTACCAGGGCGTCAGATTCGGATAACAAGACTTTGTTTGGGTCAGGCTGACATAATTTTCCTCTCTGCCTTCAGTCTTTAAACTGATCATTCCAGTCCTTCAGTGAAGCCAATTTTGGGTTTTTAAACCTGTCCATACCGTCCAGTGACTCTCTCCGAGATGACATCCATTTTGCGCACTAATACCGGCATCGCAGCTAGAACATTGTCCAGCTTACGATTCACCTCGAGTAACGTCCCAGTCTGAGAAGTCTCCACACGGACGGTTCTTTCCGTGGGTGCGGGTCGCCCTCCAATCACCCCTGTCTTCCCAAATTTCCAGAAAACCAGATATCCTCCCACTCCAATCAGGAGAAATCCAGTGATCATCAGGCCAAACATCCACACGTCTTCGATATCCTCGATTAAAGACCCCAGTGATGCAAATGACAGAACACATATTTCAGTGTGTTATTGTTTGTTATTGTTTTGTTAACAGTTTTAGGTTATCCTCATCTGTACAATACATTTGTGGGTTTTTTTTTCTTTCTTTTAAACAAATTAGGTTTTAAGTAAGGATGAAAAACATTCCATATTAAAGATTTTTTTTTTAGGTGCTGCATTACTAAAAATCTAGACAAACCATAGCAGCAGCAAAAGATTTTTCTCTGCAGGTCGGTCTAGCCACGCTCCATCGTAGCTTCAGCCGGACTACCATTGGCTCTGCTACGTTTAAGCCGGGCAAATCACATCGCTCCATGTTTGTAGACAGAAGTTTGGCAGACTTAGTGCCATCACGGCAGAGCTCTTTACTTTGTACGATGAGGACAGAGCTGCAAAGGAGCAACCAACAAAGATGTTGTCAGCTCAAGAATGGCGCTCATTTAGTAAGTAAATTTTATGTTTACAGCCCTTGTCACAGACATGGAATCACAAAGTGCTTCACATAGATCAGAACAAAATAAAACAAAGTCATAAAATCGTAACGATCTCAAAACAGAAGTAGATTAACATCAGAAAAAGTAAAGTCAGAAAATTATAAAATTTTATAAACAGATGAAAGATGAAAATTTTGAGTTAAAAATAAGAAAATAAAAGGTTTAGGTAAAAGCAGCTTTAAATAAAAGGGTCTTTAGCTGTTATTTAAAAGTGTCCAGACTGTCAACGCTGCGTAAGGATAAAGGAAGATCATTCCAGAGTCGGGGTGCAACAGTCTGGAAGGAGCGATCACCTCGACTTTTATATCTGGTCTTTGGAACTTCTAGAAGGTTCTGGTGGGCGGACCTGAGGGCTCGGGTCGGAGCATAAGGCTTTAACAGTTCTGTAATATAGGGAGGAGCTTGACCATGTAGAGCCCTGAAGGTTCTAGTCGGGACTCTAAAATGAACTCTAAAGTTAACGGGTAACCAGTGCAGAGACGTCAGAATAGGAGTGATGTGTGCTCTTCTGTTTGCTCCAGTTAGAAGCCTCGCTGCTGAGTTCTGGACCAACTGAAGGCGGTCAAGGTCTTTTTTGTTAAAACTTGTGAAAAGTGTGTTACAGTAATCTAGACGGGAGGAGATAAAGGCATGGAGAACCATTTCAAGTTCATGTTTTGACACCAAGCTTCGCAGTTTGGAGATATTTCTTAAGTGGTAAAAACTGTTTCGGACCAACGTTTTTGAGTGACCTCCACGTGACATTGATTGGTCAATAACACCCAAATTCCTTAACTCTGTCTTGACGGCAGAGGACAAATGTCCAAGTTTTAGACTAATCAGGGGAACCATGCTCTCAGGGGCAATGATCAGAGACATTCAGTCTTTTCAGAGTTTAACTGAAGGAAGTTTTCTTCTAGCCAGCTGGTGATCGCTGATAAACACTCTAGTAATTCAGACAGTTTATAGATCTCAGAATCCTTAAAGGAGCCGTACAGCTGAATATCATCTGCACATAGGTGATAAGAGACATTATGAAAAGAACCAAGTATCTGTCCAATAGGGTGTATGTACAGTAGAAACAACAGTGGACCCAAAACAGAGCCTTGGGGTACCCCACAGAACAGATCGGTAGAATCTGACATGATTTGGTTCGTACAGACACTGTAACTTCTGTTAGAAGGGTACCATCTAATTTTGAAATGGCTTTGGCAGAAAGTTGTTTCTTTGAGACGTGAGCAGGTAGAGGTACTTCTTTGATGGTGCATGGCAGATTCCACCGTTGACTGGTTTCTGTCATCGCGTTGTTTGTTGCTCTGATTGGGCCTAGCATTGTCCAGATGTGTGCAGAGACAGTTTGAAAGATTCTATCCTTACGAATGAGCTCATGGGTTGATGCCAGACTATTCATTTGCATGTATAGGATGACCTGCTAGGCTAGAACCTTTTATAAAAACATCCCAAACAATAATGAGTAAAGCCAATTCCAAGGAGATCTGCCATCTCCTGGAAATCTAATTTAACAGTAATTCACTTGTCTGTGTTAACTCAACAGCTTTGTGTCAGCTGCCACCTTTATGTCGTTAATATGACTGTAATATGTTAAAAGCACACCTTTTGACCTCTTCTGTCTCCCGTTTCCTTCTTAGATACTCACTTGGCCGACTTCTCATTGAGCACCTTGAGGAAGCCATGAGCCGGAGCCAGCAGGTCAGGAGTGTCCAACAGGAGGCTACGGAGCAGCGGGGAACTGATCTGTGACCGGATCGCTGGGAGGAGACTCTGCAGCTCAAGCCCCAGGCGAGAAAGACAGCTACTAACGAGGTAAAACTCCTGCGTGGAAGACTGAAACACACAATGGGACATAGAGACACGCGTCTAATGAAGGACTCAGCCAATCGGATGTTATTTCATGAATATTATAAAAAAATCTTAAAAACAGTAAGAAATGCTCTCTTTGATTTCCCATTGTGCCATGTGTCTGCTTGTCTTTGTGTGTTTTTGTGTGCAGATGGTGCGTTACGGAGAGGTACTGTACAACATTACATCACTAATCTCATCTGCGATGGATGCGACAGTGAAGCTTAAAGAGCCACGTCAGCCAAACTCTCTGAATAACACACCACATTAGCAACCATGCAGCCTGCAAGTCGTTGCAATATGGCAACAAAAGAAAAGAAAAAACACTTCCTGGAAACCAAAAACCTGCAAATTCACGATAGAACACAAGTGAAATTGTACAGAATATAATGCGTTAGGAGCTGTTGAGGATTTCTTTGAAACTTGGATCCAGTTTATATCAAAAGGCTGCCAATAACATGGATAAATGCTAAACTATGGCATTTACGGGGCGACGGTGGCACAGGAGTTAAGTGCTCGCCCCCTGTAATCGGAAGGTTGCAGGTTCGAGCCCCGCTCAGTCTGTCACTGTCGTTGTGTCCTTGGGCAAGACACTTAACCCACGTTGCCTGCTGGTGGTGGTCGGAGGGACCGGTGGCGCCAGTGCTCGGCAGCCTCGCCTCTGTCAGTGCGCCCCAGGGCAGCTGTGGCTACATCGTAGCTCATCCCCACCAGTGTGTGAATGTGTGTGTGAATGGGTGAATGACTGATTGTGTTGTAAAGCGCCTTGGGGGGTTTCAAGAACTCTAGAAGGCGCTATATCAAATACAGGCCATTTACCATTTACCATTTTACCATGCCACAACATAAAGCTATTTCACCATTTATGACCCTAAACAGAAGCAGTGGCTGTTTTCTAATCGATGCTGTGATAATTGAATGATAAATCAATGTCCTGGAGATGCATGTGAACATAGTAATGCTCCTAATGTCACGGAACGATATCGAATCAAAACCCTCAGGTTAATGAGGGTCACTCTGAAAGCAGCCAAGACCAGCAAGCGTCCATGATGCTCCTTTATGAAACTCAGTCAGCAACCAAAGATCATAAGTCCCCTCATGCTGTTATGTCACTGGAGTCATCGAGACTCAGGCCATCACACACACACACACACACTGATCTTTGGCTGGGCTACATGACAATTACAGCCCGTCTGTGTGTCTGCCGTGTGCCGAGTTTAATGACATCTCATCTTTTTCTTTCAACAGTGAATGAAAGAGATGATGAGCATGAAACAAGATGTCCAGCTCGAACAGAAGCACCTTGTGACACACACACACACACACACACACACACACACACACACACACACACACACACACAAACGATAAAATCCATGTACTGTATATTAGACATGTCTGATGGGAAATGAGACCATGTCAGGAAATCGGGTGTTCCAGAAACATGAGTGCTCTCTGTTGTTAATCAGGAAGTCTGCTGTAAAAATATGAGGCGACAAAATGTGTTGATTGGAATTTTTTTCTTTTAAATCCTGCAGGAACAACCTAGCCTGGCACGCCAGACTAAATAAATGTATTATTTAGTCTAGCAACGCTCCATTGACGGCTCTCGGTTGTGGGGCGGGTTCTACCGTTGTCTTTCAAATGATCTCCGCATTCCACTGGACAATGAATGTGACATACTCACCGCAACAACCATCGGTAAATGAGGCGGTCCGCAGTTGAAGGAGAAAACACGTAATTTTTTTTTAAAAAGCACTTAAATACATCTACCTGCTCCCGATTCTAATGAAGCCCAAGTTCTAATAATCCAAAATTGATGTAAAAGCCGTTTCAAACGAGCTGTCGCCATCTTGTTTCACTCTGTTGCATCATCCCACCCACCAGGCATATGGAGTGCCCTGATTGGCCCACTAAGCAGATAAAGCTCTGATTTGTTCACTAAGCAGATAGAGCACTATGATTGGACCACCATTATGGACCAATCACAGCTCTTTATGTATTTGAAACCTCTCTAGAGAGCTGTGATTGGCCAACCAGAATGCTGTTGGGGCTGCGGAGGTTCCAGTGGAGCGTTCCCAGACCAAACTTTGCAAAGCAAGAATTTGGTCTAGTTCACTAGGCTAGGAACAACCTTGAATTTCTTACCACCCAATATTACAAATCCACAAAATATAATATCGTGGGGGAAAAAATCTGCCATCATATTATTTTACATGTGCACGTGTGTGTTTTACTACCTTCTTGTGATAAATGCTGCAGATGCCCCTCTCCAGGTCAGGCAGATGTGAAAGCAAGGCTCTGACAGAGTTTAGCGTTAGAGAGTCGGACTCCATGATTTCCTGCACAGCCTCCTGCCTTTGACTGATGGAGCTGAGAAGGTGGAAGAAGAAAAGGAAACGAAACGGCGTGAATTCCAGGGCGGAAAGCAAAAAGGACGAGTAATCAAAACCATGAAAGAAAAAGAAACGTGTCGTTAGAAAAGCTGAACCAGAGACGATTGCCACCAATTAGATTTATTGTGAATTCATAATAAAGAACTGATTGCTGTGCTTGTTATTGCCCACCCTCCCTTTTTTTTGTGTGAATTTACCTCGTTTTCCCACATGAACGCCTGAGAAAGTCCAAACAGTTACCCTGCAGACTTCACCTGCGGTTTCCTATTCACACATAACCAAACAGCAGGGTGGAACTGGAACTAACATCAGGTGGCAAACCGGGGAAGCACACAGGAGGATTCGGTTATATTTTATTTTAAAGAAAAGTTTTTAAAAAATCAAACTTTCAATATGCAAAACGTGCTCAATTACTATATGAAACTAAAACTTTGCATCTCAGCTTAACCGTCTCAACAAAACCGACCAAGTGAAGGAAAAACCTGAACCTCACACTCAGACCAAACCATGAATTAAGTGCAAGAGTGCTTGTGTCATCGGCTGATGTGCTGTGGGTCTAGGAATTATTCTGTCTGGTTGTAATCAGGATTTGAGTCATGCAATAGTATCTGTGTAATCTGAAAAGATAATCCTTGCACAACAACAAAAGAGAGAGAAAGGGGGAGAGAGAGGAACACAGGAGCAGAAATTCCTTCATGGACAATAACACTTGTGTGTACAAACGTTTGTTTTCTTCTCTTGTTATGGAAATTTTATATTTCATTACCTTAGTCCTATTAACAGACCCATTAGCTGAATGTCCTGAAAGCGCACACACACACACACACGCGCACACACACACACACACACACACACACACACATTCTTGTCCTCCCACACCAACGTGCACACTCTCTCTCTCACACATGATCCACTCCGATTCCTCTCTTATCTCTTTGCTTAAATAAACTCTGTGACCAGCTGTTCAGGGCACTTGCCACTAAATCATGATTTGGTTGTATGGCTGCCTTACTGAATCTTGTCTCTCTCTCTAGCTCCAGGAAATGGGTTTATTGGTAAACATATTGATAAAATCCATGACAAAATGTGGTCCTTCATGAGCCGGGGTCCCGTCACCTTGCGGCGCCAAGAACCGATGCCGGAGGACTGTCGACAACCTATTGGGCCACTCCCATCTGTACCGGGTCGACCCGGGCCGGGTAGCCCCAGTCGGCCCCAGCCTGGCCCGGTTGATTCCACACATCCTTGCCTTAAGCCCATGTGGGCTGATTCTACCCACCAATCAGAGGCTTGCTCTAATGGAAGGTGTGAATTTGCTGTCAGCAGTGGGTGTGTTGGCCCTGGTTGGCCTGAAGCAGACCCCCTCGAGAAGAGGGCTGAGAATGAGCCTTGGTTGGCCCGGAAAAGTACCAGGCCACCCAGATATGTAAACAACCTACGCTACCCGGCCCGGGCCGACCCGGTACAGATGGGAATGGCCCATAAATCTCCTCCAGCGCTGAGTTTTGCTGGGGGGGTCGGTGAGGGTCTTGACGTTGCTGGGAGGAAATGTGGATCCACGAACTACTCAAGACCTGAGTGGAGAGATTTGGGGAGACAAGTTTGTTGTTGTTGCTTGTTTTGTCTTTGTGGTACCGAGAGAAAATCCCAGGTGACAAAAGAATAAAGTGGTGTCGTCCGCCGTGACTAGGATGGTTTTGACGGGTTCTTTTGAATATTGTCTGTATTGGCTTGGGTTTCCTGCATTTTAGCCGAAATTAGGAATGCAACTCTGGTGTAAGAAATGAAGTAGACCGGTGTGGTAGCCATGAGATTAAGTGGTGACGTCCGCCTTGAATAGGATGGTTTTTGACAGCTTCTCTGAATGCTGTCTGCGTTGGGCTTGGTTTTAAACGTTTTGCCGGAGAATTCCAAACGTGCTCTAGTTATCATTGTTGTTGTTTGTTTGTCTTAGATGTTGTCTGGTTCAACTGTTGTTCGAATGGATGAGAGAGTGTCTGGACTTGCTTATTCTTGTAGAAAGAAGGATTTGCGACTCATTTGCACACGTCTCAAGTTGGTGGTCAGACTTTTAAACAGGCTGGCTGATAAGTGAGTCCCGCTGTGTTTAGACACACAGCTGGAGGGCGAATTCGTAAGCCTGAATCCGACCTCATGCCGAAGAAGAGACGGCGTGGCATCTACATTGGGGAAAAAAGAACTCACAAAATACCTTTTGAGTAAATATTGTACATTGATGGAAATGTCAATCCAGGAAATGTGGAAATGATCAGAAAATTATCAGAGGATTGCTGGAAAACATGATTTTGATCACCGCTGACGTGTCACAAATGTACTATGGCTACGAGGATGCACAGAGCGGTGGAGAGAAAGAAAGGGATGAAGACGTGAAACAGAGAGAGAGAGCACAGCCAGGCTCAAGTAACCCAAACAACAGCTGCTGTGCTCTGAGCTAATATGGTCTCATCAGTCGAGGCCTCTAAGGTAACTTAAACTAAAACATAAAGATGAAAATTTAACTCCTTGATGTTAAGTGGCCATTACAGTGGACAGGTTCTCAAAATTGTAATTTACTTATTTGTTTTTTGCTATTAAGCTCAGCTGTTGAAGACTTTATTGCGTTTGAGCCCCTCTATGTGGACTTCAGTAAGTCCAGCCAACAGATTTCATGTTCAGAATACACGCCGTCCACTGTGGTGGACGTGTAGTAATGTTACAAAAAATGTTTGTTGAAATTTGCTTCATTCACACCTGAGGATAAATGAAAGACATTGTTAAATAATCATGGTTGAAGATTCCATATTTCATGCATCAAAGGGTTAAGCGCTGACCACATATTTAATTCTGGTATTCTGGTGACAAAAACCATTTGAACTATAAACTGTGCCAATGTTGATGGCTGAAAGGGAAAGGGTCTTAGTGGAACCCCTCAATTTGAGAAATTGTACTTGGTAGTAGAGTGTATATTTTAGTCTAAACCTCTTGGATCCCAGACCAACAAACTAGTGACTATTGTCAAATTGCATTTTATCTCCTTATTTTGTTTATTTTAAATCTTTGTCTCTGACATTTTAAATAAGACAAGGGAGCTCTCAGCGAATGACAACTTAAACCTATTAATGAGTAGTCTAACTGCTGAACACGTCAAATAGAGGGAGTGCAGAATTATTAGGCAAGTTGTATTTTTGAGGAATAATTTTATTATTGAACAACAACCATGTTCTCAATGAACCCAAAAAACTCATTAATATCAAAGCTGAATGTTTTTGGAAGTAGTTTGTAGTTTGTTTGTAGTTATAGCTATTTTAGGGGGATATCTGTGTGTGCAGGTGACTATTACTGTGCATAATCATTAGGCAACTTAACAAAAAACAAATATCTACCCATTTCAATTATTTATTTTTACCAGTGAAACCAATATAACATCTCCACATTCCCAAATATACATTTCTGACGTTCAAAAACAATACAAAAACAAATCAGCGACCAATATAGCCACCTTTCTTTGTAAGGACACTCAAAAGCCTGCCATCCATGGATTCTGTCAGTGTTTTGATCTGTTCACCATCAACACTGCGTGCAGCAGCAACCACAGCCTCCCAGACGCTGTTCAGAGAGGTGTACCGTTTTCCCTCCTTGTAAATCTCACATTTGATGATGGACCACAGGTTCTCAATGGGGTTCAGATCAGGTGAACAAGGAGGCCATGTCATTAGTTTTTCTTCTTTTATACCCTTTCTTGCCAGCCACGCTGTGGAGTACTTGGACGCGTGTGATGGAGCATTGTCCTGCATGAAAATCATGTTTTTCTTGAAGGATGCAGACTTCTTCCTGTACCACTGCTTGAAGAAGGTGTCTTCCAGAAACTGGCAGTAGGACTGGGAGTTGAGCTTGACTCCATCCTCAACCCGAAAAAGCCCCACAAGCTCATCTTTGATGACACCAGCCCAAACCAGTACTCCACCTCCACCTTGCTGGCGTCTGAGTCGGACTGGAGCTCTCTGCCCTTTACCAATCCAGCCACGGGCCCATCCATCTGGCCCATCAAGACTCACTCTCATTTCATCAGTCCATGAAACCTTAGAAAAATCAGTCTTGAGATATTTCTTGGCCCAGTCTTGACGTTTCAGCTTGTGTGTCTTGTTCAGTGGTGGTCGTCTTTCAGCCTTTCTTACCTTGGCCATGTCTCTGAGTATTGCACACCTTGTGCTTTTGGGCACTCCAGTGATGTTGCAGCTCTGAAATATGGCCAAACTGGTGGCAAGTGGCATCTTGGCAGCTGCACGCTTGACTTTTCTCAGTTCATGGGCAGTTATTTTGCGCCTTGGTTTGTCCACACGCTTCTTGCGACCCTGTTGACTATTTTGAATGAAACGCTTGATTGTTCGATGATCACGCTTCAGAAGCTTTGCAGTTTTAAGACTGCTGCATCCCTCTGCAAGATATCTCACTATTTTTGACTTTTCTGAGCCTGTCAAGTCCTTCTTTTGACCCATTTTGCCAAAGGAAAGGAAGTTGCCTAATAATTATGCACACCTGATATAGGGTGTTGATGTCATTAGACCACACCCCTTCTTATTACAGAGATGCACATCACCTAATATGCTTAACTGGTAGTAGGCTTTCGAGCCGATACAGCTTGGAGTAAGACAACATGCATGAAGAGGATGATGTGGACAAAATACTCATTTGCCTAATAATTCTGCACTCCCTGTAGTAAATTTTTGTCAATGACCAATTATCTGACGTATTGATGGGGCATACAGTGTGATCTTGACTACATTTCATAACTCTGATTCCAGAAAACATGATAAAGTCTAAAAAATCTTTGTTCCACACCTAAATTTATAAATTTATAAATGGGATTTAGATGATGAATGTTCATTTGGCTTTACTGAGTGATTCCGCCATTTCTTAGTATCTATATGGAATTTAAATGTTGAAGATTCGGTTGGTTTTTTCCCCCCGTGACTGAGTGAGATTAGGCCATATCGCAGTGCCATGCCGAACCTCACCGTTTCCTTATCTTAACCCAAACAACGGATACAGCTGGAGTCTGCTAGTTGCGCTCACCTACACACACACACACACACACACACACACACACACACACACACACACACACACACACACACACACACACACACACACACACACAGAGTGTGACCTGACAATTTTCCAAGTAAGATAATTAGCTGATTACTCTAGAAAACCTGCTAACTATCTGACGCTTGTGCATCTGTTGATTACCAATAAAACTTGATTATGAGAGTAAACACAAATAATATTAAGCAGAGTGTAACCCTGTTAGGAGATTAAGTGAACAGAATTAAAATGTCAAATTAACCCCCAAATTCCACTACCTCCGCTCCGCTCCGGTCCGCCCCCGCCCTCTGCAGCCGCTCACTTCCGAACTCAAATTTTTACTGCTACCCGCTCTACAACGGCTCCGCTCCGGTGCGGAGACCTGAGGTGCGCAAACAAGCATGCGCGGGATTTTCGAGATCTTGCGATACAGTCCGAGCAATAAACGCGGAAGTTAGATCCAAACACCCGTTGTGTGGGAGAAGCATCGAAATGAACTGTTTAATCTGCCATCATTTGTGTTTGAGAGATCAGCAGTGTTTGGATCAACAAAGGGCGACTATTTTGATAGTGGAAACTGTATTTATGGCTTATTTTTGTGCATTTAAACTTCAGCCGCCACTGATAGTTGTTAAAAGTTGTTAAACCTGTGCATATGAAACAAAAAACGCCTTTTGTTTATCGATGTAATGTGAAAAACGGAAGTTGTGCTTGCTCCTTTTCCTGTTGGGCCGTTGTGATTTCTGTCCATTTACTGCGGAGCTGCTCCGGCGTCCGGCAAAAATAGGATCGATTCTATTTTTGCCGGACGTCGGAACAGAGGGCGGCGCACGGCGCCGCACTGCCGGAGCACGGCCGCAGTAGTGGAATAGCTCTGATTGACTACAACGGGACCGATTTTGCTCCGGAGTTCGTGTCGGAGCGGAGCGGAGGTAGTGGAATTTGGGGGTTAGGAGTGATGATAAATGTTTTGTTTTTTGAACCTAAACTAAACAATGCCAAGGAACCTCGCGTTGATGTCTTGGTCCCGCCCCGGTTGCCTAGGAGATACGTCATCGGGAGCCGCCAAGACGTGTTCCAATGTTCATGTTCTCTGTTTGTTAGCCGTTTAGCTAGCTGAGCAAGGGCACACGGGAGGTGTCTTGTAGCCTAGCCTTGGTCAAAGATTTCCCAGAATACACTGCGGTATTTTCAAAAGGATGGCGGATCAGAAGCCGGCAGCTACTTTGGGGGCAAATTTCAAGTTTAAAAGTAAGTCAACTAATTTCAAATGTTTTTTTAGATCAAAAGAAGATATCTATGGTTGGTTAGTTGCTTAGTAGTTGCAGCTTCGGTGGCTAGCGGGTAGTAACTTGCTTATTTATTTAATTTAACAAATATATATACACAGTTTTAAAAGTAAAAGGCTCGTTGTGTATTTATATTGAAAATAATACGTATAAAATATAACGTTATCTCCCGTGTCACGTGACGTTACGTGATCGCCGTGGAAGCCGCAGTCACGTGATGCAAGTCTGTTCCATTTAACCGTTTTCTTTGACCAAGGAAGGACAGTCTCCTTGCAAGACATCGCCTGGCAAGGCCAGGAGCCCTGACACTGAGAAACACCCTAAGTCTCTGAAATATATAAACACATTAGTAAATACACTATCATTGATCAGATACGAGTGGTATGGTGGCAGGACACCACAGAACAGCGCTACGCCCTCTGTCGTCCTGGCGGGGAATTGCTTTGGTACACTCCGCTGCCTGAACAGAAGTTTGAGTGTGAAAACCTTTCCGACACTCAGTGTGCTTCTCTCTGCTGCGGAGCTCACGGAGAAGCACAAATCAGGCTTAACCCTGTAAAGGGTCATTTTAGCACATAAATTATTAAAAAATATTAGAAGTTGTAAAGTGTTTCTTTAAAGAACAGAACTATTCATTTGTAGTTTCCAATCACACAATCACATTATGACAAGAAACCTTGTGAAGCAACATAAATATGGGATGTTTTCCCACTTCTGTACACATGGTGTGAAATCAGGATGAAGTACGGAAAAATTCAGGTTCATACCGACTAGTAGGGCTGAAAATAAACCACACATGAGTACGTACTGCAGGTCTGTGAGGGGCCTGCTGACCCACTTCCTCATCAGTCTCCTTCCAAACGCCGTGCGAGTGTGGTCCAGTACCCACAGCAGACTTCCCTTTACCCTTCCATCAGTCTGTGATGGAAACACACAACAGGGGGAAAAAAAACAGTTTCATTGCATGAGCATCATTATAATTTTAAAGTTCCTGTAAGGTGATAAATATACTACTGTGATCACCCGAAACGCTTATTTGGAAGTGAATTCAAAATTTTGGAAAAACAACACGAAATTCAAGTATTTTATAAGGATTTCAAGCACCTTCAAAAACCCTGTAGCAAGATGAGTGACTACAAAATGGGTTTTTATACTTATAAGGTCATCCAGTCGTATGGTTAATTAATCTGCAGACTTCCGGCATAAACACAAAAATTATTCAGTAATAAAAATGTAACAGAATGAAATGACTGTTTCCCCTCTCCTCTGACACAGAACTAGTCTGCATGAGATATGGCCTCAAGGTCTCATGCATTTGCTTCTAAGCTGCTTCTTTTCAGCTCAACAGAAGAATGAAGAATGAACTCTTTTCTTTTAATTAATCAAAGAACTTTATTTTAATAAAGCTAATCAAACAAAGTGTTAGTCAATAATAAGATGTGACCAATCTGTGAAATCAAAATATTAATTACTTTATTATAATCCTATATACTATAATAAGTAATACGACTTTAAATGTTTCCACTAGGACTGATCTCACGTAGCGTTAAGACATGACACACTGCTTTACTGATCCAATCAGAATCTGCCAGATCTGACGGAGGCGTGGTTTTGGTGGTGTTTGGTAAATCTGTCATCTTTTCATTCGACCATAAACCAAAACATCCGAAGTATAAAACTATGCCCACGTCACCTTTAACACCAGTTCAAAGCGTTCTAGAGAAGTTGTCGGAGTGGCCAATCCGTAACTTTCCTCTTCAGCCGAAAGAACCGACAAGCTGGATAAAATCTGTTGCTGTTCCACCTGCTGCAACAGTTCCTTTCAGAATAAAAGCTGAACCATCACGACCCAGGTTTGGGTCTCGCTAGATGCCAACAAAATTGTCGTGACCCGGAAGTATCTCACAGACTGGTCTGGTCGGCAACCGCTGCTTTTCCTACCGGCTCGGTTCCAGAGAGGGTCAAGCTGGACCTCGACATTCCTGATCTAGACGGGGACTTCCAAAAGGGTATGTAGACCGGCAAATGGTGTCAAATGTGTTTCTGAATCTCCTAATCAAAGCTTAACGCGAAGACATCACCTTCAGTTCCCATCAGAACTAATCGCTTCTTCGGATTTGCTGGTTCTGAGCAACATTCCACATTACACCATTCTCTGTCTCATCCACCTTAGTTACGCCATACATTTAGTGTTTAAAGTCAGTCTAGTTTAATTTGTTTTAATAAATCTTTAAACTTGACTCTCTTCTGTTGTCTCTGAGATAATACGAAGCTGTTATCTAATCCCTGCAATAAAAAGATCCAACCTTCTTTTTTAAAATAACCTCACAGATCCGTATGGTGGATTTTATATTTCCTATGGAATCCTACGCCTTATGGCTTATTAAATAACACGTAATTTAAATCATTAAAAAAATAAATGTTTACCGTCTTTTAAACAATGTGCATGATCAAACTTTAAGACTCTGATCAGGTAACTTAGTTCATCATTAAACTGTAAAATAAAACTGCAGCATAGTACTCAGTTGTTGCGTGGGGTAAACATTTGTTTCCAGGTTACATCAAAAGACAACGCAACAATAAAGTACATAAATTCTCTTTCTCATCCTGATTGGATGTTGGGCTGTGGATTTTACCTGATTGGTGAGTATTTCCAGGTTCCTGAGAGTGGTGGCGTTGAGTGTCACACCCTCCGATTCACAGGACAGCCGCTGGAACGAGCTGCAAGAAACACATCCATTTTAAAAAGCTCCATGAGCAAAAATTCAATGTGTCTTGTGGTTAGAAGTTTACAAATGTGATAAAGGAAAACTGTTTTAATAAACCAAAGAAAAGTGATTCTTGCTGCAGAAAAATGGGAAGGCTGTAATTTGCATCCTTTCTGATAGGAGATTTTGACGTAGCAATAGTTTTTATTTTATATTAAGCTAGATCTACAATGATCTCAGTGGCTGTTGAGTTAGAAATTTGACCAATTTCATGTTTGACATCTCTCTGCATCTCTCTGCTGACCAAAAACCACATTTCATAGTTTTGTGGAGTGGGTAAGTGTACTAGGAGGTGCTCTTTACCTGCTGTATGGCTGTTGGCTGTAATCAGGGTATCTGCGGGTGTAAGGGAGCCAAATTTAAGACTTTTTACGACCTTTTCTAAGGCCACTTTGACCAAATTGAAGCTATTTTTTTAAATTAAATTTAAGCTATAATTTCCAGCTATTGCCTGGAACCGGTGCTAACCACGTGGTGAACATGGGATTAGCCATCCAGTTACCATTAAACTTGCACTTCCCCATGGCGCAGGCTCCCACTAGCTTAACCAGCTAACGTGCTCATCTAAAAATAGCCCCCTTTCGCAACCAACTGAATGTGTACGGTTCCGCTTACGGCAACATCACACACAAAAAATGCTGAACACTAACTAGAAATTCACGAAAATTTTACAGAAATCAAAGAATCTTGTTTATTGGGTCTTTGGTAATTTAAGACCTTTGGAAACTGTATTTAAGGATTATTTGTCATTTTTAAGGCCTTAAATTTGGAAAAGCAAATTTAAGACTTTTTAAGGACCCGCAGATACCCTGTGTACTGCTAGCAGTTAGCATGTTCAGTTCACTGATAACCAATAAAAAGCACAAGAAGAAAAACAAGTTTACTTCTTTATTGGCATCATGGCGTAAGAGAGAATGTCTTTGGAGGAGAAGCAAATAGCTAAACCAGAGTGAACACTGGCACAGCCTACACCAATTTGACAGTGGTAAAGAAGGATGCTAAATCACAAACTGATGATGACCTGGCTTTGTTGCAACAGTACTATAATATTTTTGTTTACTTTGTGGTTTTTTTCAGTAATAGTTGGCTCATGTTAGTGTTAGCTCATTGTTAGCGCTAGCTACAGTGGGTTTGTTTGCAACAGTTGTAATCCCACTTTCAACCAGCAGGGCGGAGGAGCAGGAAAGTTCTCAGTGTTACTTTAACCTTTTATGTGATCTGGGATGAGAATTTGTCCTCAAAGACGCTCCAGGTAAAAGGTGAGCGAATCTTCCTTGTAACGTTTAATGTTATTGTTTTTGCATGGTTTAGCATAAGTTGCTACCGACGTGAAACATTTGCTTTCACGTACCTTTCATTTCTCAGAACTCTTTCTAAATTGAATTCTTGGAGGTACTGGATGAGGGGCCCCAGGCAGCAGACCACTGGGCTCTCCAAGGACGCTACGCTCGACAGAGATCGTGAGTCTGGAGGACAAGCACACACTGTAATGCGAGTTGTTTTTATTTAAACACTAAAACGCAGCCGTGAGTCATGACTCAGCCGCGATCGGAAACATCCAACGTTACTGCTGAATGAGAGTCATGGAAGCAAAGTGAAAGGAGACGAGGAGCGGGACACCTTCTTCCTGGGCGTGGCCGAAGAATCCGACCACCGTGACGACTGCAGCAGAGAACTCAAACTGGGCGCTGTCCCTCTTCTCTATTCTAACTCGATCATCAGCCTGAGAACTGGAAGAAAACAAAAAAAAACTTTATTATCATCAGAAGGCGTGACAGTGTTGATCTAAGACATGAGAGCTGTTTGTGGCTCCATGATAAACATCCTGACAATTACTTTCGGCCTTTCAGTGAAGGAAACGAGTTCTGTCACACTCATAAAACACACATTCTCCCTGCATCTCCCTGGTGCACGATCGGATCTCTCTATAGCTGTATTCAGTCTCTCGGCATTGCAGCTCTCAAGGACTCGGTGGCTTTGTCTGCTGTGGTGTTGCCAGGGCAACCAAGGCAAACACATGACTCTGGAGCACCTTCTTTCTTCCGTTTATCTCATACCCATACAGGCGCTCACAGACACTGAATAATCCTCACATTTCTAATCCAACACCGGTCAGAACAGAATCAAAGACGGTACAAAAGTAATCAATAGGCGGCCCATTGTTCCCGAGGCAATTCATCGCTTAGAGGGCTGATCTAAACCACGTTACGAGGGTTTACAAAAACTGCTACAAAAGCAGTTATTGATCCAGGGACTGAACTGCAGAGGAGCCCGTTTTTGCAAAAACGCATGACATGGCAGAACAACAGTTATTAAGATGGGCTTACGTCGGCTCCATCTGTTATGAAATTTCCAGGAAGCTCTTAAGCCGCCAACCGGAAGCTGAATCGGGTTTTTGCATTCAATCGAGGAGGTGTGTGTGTGTGTGTGTGCGTGTGTGTTTAAACTAGAATGGAGTCTAGACTCCAGTGGGATTGTGACTACGACTAAAACACGTTTATTGTTGTTCACAAATAAAGCTGACAAATAGAATCAATGTTTTCGAAAGCGGTAAAATAACTTCCATAGGTCGTACGTCCAGCCAGTCATCTAGTGTGATGTCATCGGCAGGCGCAGGACCGCCAGCTGGCCAGAAGGAAACACTGCGTTTAATATGGCATGCCCCAGAGACATGGACCTGAACCCCATGTATTTTAGACCCAGTGTTTATGGTTATATGTTATGCAACGTCACGAAATGGCCTGATTTTGAGACCCACAGGTCAAGTCCACAGCCAGGTCATTTCGCTCTGGCTACGACTCCAACCTACAATATTTTCCCTCACAGGAGACCGAAAGCCGGACGCCCTGAAAGAGATAATAAAATCAAACAATAACATTCTCTCCTACCAAGGTCCCTTTACAGAGGAACTCATTAAATGAACTCCTCGATTCACAGAAGAAAGAAGAATTAAAAATTAAAGATGATCATTAAATAAACGTTTGTTTATTGCTACTTATAATAATTATAAAACAATTAAATGTTTCATTAATCTGTGCTTAATGATATGTGTTTAGCATGTTTACTTGACGAGGTCATCACCATCTGCACTCACACAAAAACAAAACAAAGTAAAGTGAACGCATGACACATAGTTAACCTCTGCCCGGTTCAGAGACTCCGGATCAAAGAGGGTGTGTCTCTGAGATTCTTGGTAATGTTCCTCAAACCTGTCACCTTTTGGTTGGCTATTCAATCATAATATCGTTCTATTAAAACTACTCTGGCTGTTCGGGAGTTCAAGAGCAAGCTTCAGGCCGGCCATCTGAGCAAACCCCCTTTAACCAGCAAAGATTTTGAAGCGTCGTCAAAACCTTTTTAACCCTTTTTCGCACCGGCGAAGCTGAAACAACAAGATAGTTTCATGGTAAAATGGTAAATGGCCTGTATTTGATATAGCGCCTTCAAGAGTCCTGGAACCCCCCAAGGCGCTTTACAACACAATCAGTCATTCACCCAATCACACACTGGTGGTGATGAGCTACGATGTAGCCACAGCTGCGTTGGGGCGCACTGACAGAGGAGAGGCTGCCGAGCACTGGCGCCACCGGTCCCTCCGACCACCACCAGCAGGCAACGTGGGTTAAGTGTCTTGCCCAAGGACACAACGATAGCGACAGACTGAGCGGCGCTCGACCCTGCAACCTTCATGCAGTGCAAGCTGATATTGTTACGACTCCGTAAGAGTTATTCCTGAGACGCAAACTAGTTCCAACTGTCGTTGCCAGGGAGATGTCCCTGGACTGACCTGGTCGTACGAGGAGTTAGTCTACGGACTCCGGTACCGGGGTCTCCAAGCCCCTCCTGGCATCTCGGATCCAAAAGGGCGTCTCCGCTTGGGTACGTAGAGCACAGTGAGATTGCGTCTGAATGTGGTTTTGATAATAATCTATTTATAGCTTAAACAAACCAAATTCTTCTTCGTCCAGAACTCAGCTCTCTGAGATACGGAGATTCTATCTATATTATATTCACACATAGGTTCCAGACACCACCTTTTACTTCCATCCACTCACAGTAAATAATAGTTTAACCAACTTGCCAAGTTTTAATTGTTTGTAAAGATAAATTCTTACTTTTATAAACCTGACAGTTTCTTGAATCAAAGCAAAGCGTGAACAATTCCCTAATGAATAAAGAATCCTAGATTCTTCTGTCTAAAACAAATAAAGACCAGGCAAGGTGATATTCTATATTTAAATAGAGTATCACAGCTTATTGGTCTCAAGTGGTGTTAATAATATAAATAGCTCTTAAAGGGACTTTACGGACTTTTGAATTTTTATGCTTGTGATCGCCCCCTCAGGCCAAAAGCGTAACAGCGGCTTCAATAGTAGGCTCGTGCACGAGGCGCACATGCTGTACGTGCACACTCCTTAACGAAAATAACAGCTGAGACGGTCCCTTGTGTGTGTGTGTGTGTGTGTGTGTGTGTGTGTGTGTGTGTGTGTGTGTGTGTGTGTGTGTGTGTGTGTGTGTGTGTGTGTGTGTGTGTGTGTGGCATGGAGGACAGAGGACAGGAGAACACACAGCTAATTAATTAAATAATTTGGTTCTGTAGCTTTCTCTTCAGCACAGCCGACAAAGGTTTATGATGGGTCAGTCCTCCTGCATGCTCAGATCATTCCCTTCCCTTGCTTGAAAAACTGTTCCAATATGAAAGTTGAACCCACATCTTTTTTATCTGTGAATTCAATGCCGTTCGGCGAGTCTCAAATAAAAATGTGGGCATCTTACTGTAAAAAAAATATACCATTAATGTAAAAAATAAACTCTAAATAAACTATGTTCACATCCAGAATCAAACCCAGGTCTTCTGCACGAGAGTCTGACGTCTTACTAGGTGAGCTACAGCACCAGTGACGTCCTTTGTATCTGTAACATTTATATCCTTGATGACAGCTGAAACAACGTCAAACCAAAGAACGGTTCGGAGTGAAAATGGCTATTTTGTTGCTAATTAGCAGGAAATATCTAGAAGAAAGTTCTACAGAAAGTAGCTAAGGGTCCTCAGAAATGTAGCTAGCTTTGTCACTAGGCGTTAGGAACAGCGACAAAGTGGCACTGCCTCTCTCTCTGCTGCTAAAGCTACGGATAGCAAATGCTACGGGCGATGCCTGAGCGTGAACGCGCATGAAGCAGCCTGCTCGACCCGAGCATCTCTCTTTTTCTGTGATTTTACAGAAAAACAGGCAATCACAGTAAAAAATGCCAGGGCTCATTCTACAGGACCAGGGCATTGCAGGAGAATGTATGAAGAAGACTTTTATTATTTCTATACATGTTTTGGCTGTCACACTTCCATAATGTCCCTTTAAATAGAGTATCACAGCTTATTGGTCTCAAGTGGTGTTAATAATATAAATAGCTCTTAAAGCAATTGGCATAACCCAATATACTATTTATTAACATTACACTTACAAAGCCGCCAATATTTTCAATGACTGAACATCAGTTTATTCATTTTCAACAAGACGTCCATGAATGTTTCCAGAGATTAATGGTAAAAATGACACATTGTCTCTTTAAACTCAACTACAACATGTTTGATCCTTGTAAGCTAAATAAAGCAATATTTATGTAGCTTTGTATAATTATGTTATTGTGTTTGCAAACAAAATCTTTTGCTCATCATCACGAAATGATATTTTAACTATCATCAGGAACAATCAACACGTTTCTATTAAAGGAGAACAGAAGATGGCCCGTTCGGATCCCTGTAACGCTCTCCACCGCTTGTCAAGGAAAATCCAGTATTCTAATGAGCTTTGAAAGAAAAGCGTCTGGACTTCTTTGAGTTGCTTGGAGACGTTTCACCTCTCATCCGAGAGGCTTCTTCAGTTCTAAGGTCAGATGGTGGAGCGTCCCAGATTTAAACCCAGTGGGAGTTCCCCCCGGAGAGGGAACAAAAGACCCCCTGATGATCTTCTACATAAACACATTGAGGGTGGGTGTGGGTCCTATTCAGCCAGAGTTTCGGGTGAGCTCATTGTGAAGCCTGGCCCCACCCTATCATGTGAATTCCTGGTCAGATGGCCCAGGATATGCGTGGGCGTTGAGGCATCTGGGAAGGGACCTCAAAACTGGATTATAGATGGCAGACAGTTGGTGTCGTAAACCACCGCCTCTGTTCAAAGATGGTTGCTCACAGTGGACATAAATGGCGTCCATAAATGGTCTTTTGTTCCCTCTTCGGGGGGAAACTCCCACGGGGTTTAAATCTGGGACTCTCCACCATTTGACCTTAGAACTGAAGAAGCCTCTCAGATGAGGGGTGAAACGTCTTCAAGCAACTCAAAGAAGTCCAGACGCTTTTCTTTCAAAGCTCATTAGACTACAATGTCCTGGATGACTGAGAACCTTCACAGACAAAATCCAGTATTGTTTTTGTTTGTTTCGCCCATTTTCTTCTTCTGTTGAGAAGCACTTTGTAATTCCTATCTGCAAAAGGTACGAGTACATTTTACTTTAGCTTACCTGATTAGAAACCAGGTTGACCTCATCTTATAGTGCCCAGATGGAAAAAAGTAACCTGTTAACTTCTAGAAGAACGTTCCTCCTCTCTAAATCATTTTAATACTGAAGTGGCTACAACCAGAAGTTTAAATCAGACAGGTGTCTAACTAGAGACCAAAGGAGAACACACTTTAAAATGCACATCACTGGTTTCTGGTGCAGATGTTTTCACCTA